CACACACACATAGACAGACACACACACAAACAGACAAACAAACAGATACACACACACACAGACGGGGGCATCGTGGGCAGACTGTCGGGGTTCAGCCTACCGGTAAGTCGGCACAGTCATACTTTTTTGAGTGTATAGCGAATATGACAGCACACACACACATACACACACACACACACACATACATTCACACACACACACGGGGACACACACATAGACAGACACACACACAAACAGACAGACACACATACACACAGACAACCCCCATTCCACCGAGATGAGCAGATTCAAAATCAAAACATGGTCAATGTAGCAAGTTCAAGCAACCCCTCTAACAGACAACGAAAGCCCTTGAGTTCGGACAGCCCAATAATGAAACAGTCATGGACGACCACATTGCTGAGTTGCTGCTATCTGAGTGTGTAAGCAGACTCTCTCTCTCTCTCTCTCTCTCTCTCTCTCTCTCTCTCTCTCTCTCCGCAGTAGGCTCCGTCCTCCTCTTCTTCCTTTGCAGTGGTGCACTCTCACGAGAGTCATCATTTGACTCCTCTCCTGTTGCTGCCGCTTCCTGTCATTTCTCTTTTCGTGGTCGCCCTCTCGGACGGCCTGAGCCTCGCGCAACCCCCTGAGTTTGCCCTCTCCCACGTCCAGCAGTCGGCCTCCCTCGTCCTCGCGGAGCACGATAGGCGAGGGGATCCGATACACGACCGGGATGCGCTCCATGCCGCCCAAGGAGAGGCGACTGCTGACTAGAACCGTAAAATCCTCACACCTCGCTGCGACCCTGCTCGCCCTCTGCCTCACCCTCCTCGTGCACATCTCTGGCCGACTACACTGCGGTCTTCCGGTGGTCTGCGGGATCCACCCTTTGCTGCTCCCTTCTCCCTCTGCTGCTGCCGCTCCTTCTCCCTCTGCTGCTGTTGCTCCTCATCCCTCTCATGGTGCGGCTGCTCCTTCTCCCTCTGTTGATGCGGCTCCTCATCCCTCTCATGTTGCTGCTGCTCCTTCTCCCTCTCATGCTGTTGCTGCTCCTCATCCCCTTACTGCTGCTCTTGCTGCTGCTCCTCTGCAGGCTGCTTATCCTCGTCGTGCAGCTCTCGCGGCTTGGGCCACCCCTGCTGCTCCTCAACCTGCTCCTGCTGCCCCTTTGGCCGCGCCCGATGAGCCGCTCCATGACGCTCTCGAACTGTGCCACGAGGTCGACATTACTGAAAATAGTAACGTCCCTCAACATAGGATCCAACAGCCGAGCAACGACGTCGATGTGGCTGAGCAACATGTCGGTCCTCTTGCCTCATCCCTCAGAAGGTCCTCTCGCTGTTCCGCGGTGAGGGGGGTCGAGCGAACAAAGTCGGGAACACGACACGCCATATCATAGATGCGTGACAAGCAATGGACATCTTTGTCCACCTCTTGCAACACATTATAAGGCCCCTTCATGACGGCAGTCAGCTTCTTGACATCAGCCCAGAATGCTTTGTCAAGAACTGTATCCTCCACAAAGTCGGCTTTCGCCCTGATATCCCCTCGCCACAGCATGGTCTCCCATCCGTGTCCGGTGACGACTCGCACAATGGCCCTCTCGCACACCTCAAGTCGCTGCAGCATCACGTAGTTCGTCCCGAACCTGGTCTGAGCAGGCCGAAGGAGGCACGTGCAATCCAAGTCGGGGTACTTCAACAGTTATGTCCTGAACTGCGACCGAAGCCACCTGTGAACCCGGAAGAAGTTCACTACTTTGTTGGCCTTGGTGATGATGACATCCGCCCACTCCTTCTTGCCTATATCGTGCATGAGGAGGTCCATGCAATGAGTTGTGCAAGGGATCCAATAGATCTGCCTGAACTCGGGGTCCTCCCTCAACATCCTCGCGGCACTCAAATTCCCGACGAAAGAGTCAGTGCATATCGCCGTGATCTTCTCCACCCCCCACTCCCTGAAGAACCGCTTCCACCCGGCAACGACAACTGCAGAGTCCTTGTCTCCCTCGCTCACATCCTCGCACTTCACGAAAACAGGCTTCGACCGGCCTGCAAGGATGTAATTCATAAGTGATCGCCCACAAATGTTTGTGGCGCCATCAGTTATGAACGTGCATCCAGTCACCTGCCAGTCGTCACGGACCGCCTGCTTCTCATCCACCAACCTCTTGTTCAAACGATCAAGCACGCGACACCTGAGGGGGTTGTACCTAGTGGGCACGAGAGGGTGACTCCCCACAAGCTGTGGCCCAATACACGTCAGCATGAACTTCTTGAAGCTCCTGCTTCTGGCGGTGTTGAACGGGATCGTGTTCTCCACGACGAACTCGCAGCAGGAGTCATTTATGTCCTCCTGCCTCGGGTTCTTCGCAAACCTCCTGATGCTCATCTGCTTCACCGGGCCATGTGTGCGCGCCCCCTGCACCACAACCCTCGAGGAGCCAGCCCTCCCTACAGTAAGTAGCAAGGCCACCTGTCACAACACCCCTCGTCCCCTCATCCTCAGCGATGTCAACCTCCCCGGTGTCCCCACCAGGTGCCTCCCTGGGATCCTCAGCAATCCCGCCTTTGCCCCCTTCTCCTCCACCCGCAACAGGAGTGTCCTCCTCGTCGCTCTTCTCCATCTCCAACATGCGCTGCACCATCTCATGCAGGTCCGTTGGCAGCTGTACACCGATGCCATGCAGCCTCCTCCAAATCGACAGGTTTGAATGTGGACACCTGGCATACGCCCTCGCCAGAATGAAATGCTCCCACGCACGCTTCCGATTCCCGGAGTACTCCTTGTTGCAGAGTTTGCACCGCAGTCTTCTCGACCCACGAGCATTGCCCGACAGCATCTGGCCAGGAGTGACCGAAGTCCACACGACGTGGTCCCTGTTCTAGGTCATGTCCTCCCGGAACGGGTCCCGTTGCTCCCCTGCCATGACGCCGGTGATGCTGCGGAGTCAGTGTAGACGACTTGCTGAAGTGGTTGCTGCTGACGTGGTTGCCGCTTTTGATGCTGTCACGGGAGCTGGCACTGGAAGATGCACACAAACGATTGTTGAAGCGGTTCCTGCTCACGTGGTTGTTGCTCTCGTGGTGGCTGCTCACGTGGCACTGGGAGGTGCACTGGCTTTCAATGTGGGTGCTGCAGCTCCTGCTGAAGCGGTTGCTGTCACGTGGCTGTTGCTGACGTGGCAGGTGTGGACGAAACACCTGCTGACGTGGCAAACGCTGACGATGCACCTGCGAGAACAAGGAGCAGAAGAAATGTCAATTTCGGTGGAGAAGAAAAAATCGAAAAAAAAAAAAGCGGAGGAGGGGGAGGACGAGGGAGGGGGAGGAGGAGGCGATGGAGGA